GCTGGTACCAGTCATTGGCAAGTCCACTCAGCTCCACATCCTCCTGTACCACGTCATTCCATATCTTTTCTAGCCTGTGCCGCGCTCGTTTAGCCCCCTCTATTCGGCCGAACAAAAGCTGGTTAGGAATGCGGTGGCTGGGCATACAAGCTATATGACCCAGCCAACGCAGCCTTGCCTGCCGGAGGAGTTCACCGATGGGACTTTCCCCAGATATTTCTGGGATTTGTGAGCTCTTCACACAATCCACCCTGCTTAAACCCAGGATGGATCTTAGGCAGGCCAGCCTAAATGTTTCCAATCTGCGAAGATGCTCCATTAGGGGGGTCGACGTTTCGCAAGCGTAGAGAAGGGATGGCCGAGAAGACTTGAGGCTTCGTGCGGAGCGACAGACCAGGTAGCTTCCACACAGCGTTACGCAACCGATGAAAAGATAATACCACTTGACTGATTCTGAGTGAGACCTCTGCTGTCAAACCGGAGCCAGTCATGAGCACACTGCCCAGGTATGGGAAACTCTCTACTCTCCACAACTGCCCCATCACCGATTGGGAGTTGTTTTGGTGGGTTGCCCGATGGTACAAAATACCCAGGCAGGTGCTTAGTTGAATAATCCTTGCCAGGACCTTTCCCGGCACACTGAATAGTGAGATGCCACTGTAGTTGTTACAGTCTGTGTGGGGTCCCCCTTCTTAAAGAGGGGGACCACCAGGGCATCCTTCTAATCCTGCGGAACCCGTCCAGTGGCCCAAACTGTTGTTATGATGTCATGTAGGGCATTCTGTGCACAAATGCCACCCTCCCTCAGCATTTCGCTTGGGAGATCATCTCTGCCCGGTGCCTTTCCTGGTCTCAAACTCTGGATCGCTTGCAGTACTTCCTCAACAGATGGCACCTCAGACAGCCACTCACAGGGGGTGACTTCCTCCTCCAATATTTGCGGCACCGCAGCCTCAGCAGGGTCATCCCCACTTTGTCCCATGAGGTTTTCCAGGCCGAGGGATTCCCCCTCCCACAGGACCTCACAGGAATGCACAGCAAACCTGTTCCTGGGGGTCGGGGATTGGATCACCGTTCTTTCCCCTAATGATGATAATAGGTGTGGCACAGCAGGTTACTTTTTTGATGGAGTTAAATAGGGATTTGTGATCGCGGGCCATTGAGGCAGACTCCATCTCCTCAGCAACCCGCGACCACCACCCATCCTTGCAGCGCCTAACGGCTCTCCGAACCTCCGAGCGAAGGCTGCGGTAAGCCTCCTCATTCTCTGACGTGGGATGCTGTAATCGATGAGTGTGGGCATGTCACTTTTTCTCAACCATCCTGAACACCTCCTCTGTCAGCCAGGGTCTCTGGGGAGGTCTGGACCGCGTTCCCAAAGCAGCCATTGCAGCTGCATTAGTCACAGTCCTAAACCTCGCCCATCTACCCTCGACATCAGGAGGAGTGGGGAAAGATGCCAACCCCAGCCGCAAGCGATGATGAAATTCTCGCTTGAAATTTCCATCAGCTAGCTCAGACCAGGCAACCTTTGGTTGGAATTGGTTCGTGGGTGTACACCCACCACCGGAGTGGAAAAATGGCAAGTGCATCTTACAGATGACAAGTTGATGGTCAGAGGGCAGATCAGCTCCACAGTAGGTCCTGGTGTCAATGACATGGGCTTGCATCCGCTGGTATGTCAATATATAGTCCAGCAGATGTTCTTGCTTGGACCCGGCATGCATCCATGATGCTGTATGGATGCGCCGACGCCGGACCAGCGTGTTACAAGCCCATGGGCTGCACAAAAATCTAGCAGCCTCCTACCGTTGTTATTGAGCTGATATGGCCCATGCCTTCCAATCACTCCAGACTAGGTGCCAGCATCATGACCAACTCGGGCATTGAAGTCACCCCACCAAGATGACTCTATCCCGAGGGGCCACTTTAGCCAGCACCTGTGACAGGAGGTCATAAAAGGCATCTGACTCAACGGTCTTGGGGGCATAAGTCACCAAGACCACCACTCCTCGCCTCCGGTTGATGGGAAGGCGAGCCCACGTCTAAAGAAAATAACACTAACAAAGATCCCCCGTATAGCCTTAACAGACTGTAGGGGCAAGTGCTGTTAGCAAGCACCTATAAAGGCCAGCACAGCACACGAGGGGGTGGGTGGCCAACACCACGCCCGGCCGCCTTTGTCTCTCCAGTGGCAATGTTTACACATCGCACCAGGTACTCATTTGAGGCTGAGTCGACCTAGGGGAGGCCCAGGACCGGTTCAGATAATCGTCACTGGGTGTTGGCCGTGAGCGGGAATCAAACCCGGGTCGCCAGGTTCGTAACGCAGCGCGCTAACCGCTACACCACCGCTCCCCACTACTTACTAACACACACTAACACACAAAAGATCCCCCATATAGCCTTAACAGACTGTAGGGGCAAGTGCTGTTAGTGAGCACCTATGAAGGCCGGAACGGTACACGAGGGGGTGGGTGGCCAGCACCACGCCCGACCGCCTTTGTCTCCACACACTGACACACACACACTAACACGAACACACACACACGCGAGTTCAAAAGCACGCACACTCACTCTGACACACGCAGCAGCAAACAGCAGCAGCCTCCTTCCCCCACCCCCCCTCCTCCACCCCCCTCCCCCGATGAACTCGGTGGAATCTCTTCGGCACGCGCTGAGATGTTTATCGTCGCCAATGGGTGAACGACGGCGAGGGAGAGGGGGGGGGAACTGGGTGAGATGGGGCACTGGGTCCCCGGGGTCACTGAGCCACTCTGCCGGCACCCCGAGGCACCTCGAGTGCGGAATGCGTCACCGTTGAAGACGTCTCGCACGCCCTCTCAATGGGGGGTGGCGGTGTTGGTCGTGGGGGGGGGGGGGTCCCGCTGATCTACGATTATCGATAATGAGTGGGGGAGGGGGGGTGGGGGAGTGCGAGGTTATCTGAACCGGTCCTGGGCTCTCCCCCCCCTAGGTCGACTCAGCCTGAAATGACTACTCTGGTGCGGTGCGGTGTGCCGGCCTTTATTGGCGCTACTCGCTACCAACAGCACTTGCCCCAACAGTCTGTTGAGGCTATACGGTTGGGGGTGGGATCTTTGTCTTTGTATAGTTATGTATGGATTTTTCATCCCCCCTACCCACCCCGCCTGTCCCTCGTTCGCGACGTAGCGGCCTCTAGCGGCTGCCGGATCATGTCATTCTATGCAAAGCCACGATCGTTCGAGGAATTATTGCCGAAGCGGTCTGGCAGTTTCGCCCCGCGGTCGACTCAGCCTTAAAACGAGTAAGAGGCGCCTTCCGCGATGCCCCCTTTTCATCGCGCACATCGCGGCCTTTGTGTCTGGGGAGACAAAGGCGGCCGGGCCGTGGTTCCTGGCCCGCACCAAACCGCCACGATCGTGGGTAGCTACACGTGGGAATCGCCTGCTTGGTGGCGATAATGTAACGTACTCTGAACGTGTCGAGGCGCTTTGCATTATTGTTACTCTGTCTGCCTCTTGTGTGTGTGTGTGTCTGTATGTGTGTGTGTCTGTATGTGTGTGTGTGACTGTATGTGTGTGTCTGTCTGTGTGTGTGTGTCTGTATGTGTGTGTGTGTCTGTATGTGTGTGTGTGTCTGTGTGTGTCTGTGTGTGTGTGTGTCTGTATGTGTGTGTGTGTCTGTATGTGTGTGTCTGTATGTGTGTGTGTATGTATGTGTGTGTCTGTATGTGTGTGTGTGTCTGTATGTGTGTGTTGTCTGTATGTGTGTGTGTGTCTGTGTGTGTGTCTGTATGTGTGTGTCTGTATGTGTGTGTGTGTCTGTATGTGTGTGTCTGTATGTGTGTGTCTGTATGTGTGTGTGTCTGTGTGTGTATCTGTGTGTGTGTATCTGTGTGTGTGTGTATAATAGAGAGCGGTAGTGTAGCGTTTAGCGCGCTGCGCTATGAACCTGGCGACCCGGGTCTCGATTCCCGCTCACGGCTAACACCAGTGACGATTATCTGAACCGGTCCCGGGCCTCCCCTAGGTCGACTCAGCCTCAAATGAGTACCTGGTGCGGTGTGTAAACATCGCCGCTAGGGAGACAAAGGCGGTCGGGCGTGGTGCTGGCCACCCACCCCCTCGTTCGTGTACCGTTCCGGCCTTCATAGGTGCTCGCTAACAGCACTTGTCCCTACAGTCTGTTAAGGCTATACGGGGGATCTTTGTCTTTATCTGTGTGTGCCCCGGATTGAGACTGGTTGCCGGATGAGACTGGTTGATGTTGGTGGTTGATAGACGTGCTGATGATGGTGGTGGTGATAGTGGCGGCGGTGATGATGGTGATGATGGCACCTGGGTCTGTCCCATGAGCTTTCGACCACTTCACGTGGCCTCAAAGTGCACCTAGCCTGGTACAAGCGTCGTGGTGACGTCACCGCTACTCAGGGGCGGTGACGTTGCTGTTGTGTGGTTGTACTCGTGGTGGTGGTGATGAAAGTGGTTGTGATGTTGGTAGTAATTAAAGTGGTGGTGATGATGATGGAGGAGGTGGTTTTGGTGGTGTTGGTGGTGGTGTTGATGATGATGATGGAGGTGGTTTTGGTGGTAGTGGTGATGTGATGACGATGATGATGGAGGTGGTGCTGGTGGTTATGATTATGATGGCTGTGATACTTGTAGTTGTGCCGATGATGGTGGTGTTCGCTTTGGTTGTACTAACAGTGACGATGGTAGTGATGATGATGGTCGTGGTGATGATGGTAATGATGATGGTTGGTGGTGGTGATAACAATGACACGAGTAATAATGATGGTAGCGATGATGATGATGATGGTGGTTGTACTGATAGTGATGATGGTTGTTACTGATAGTGATAATGATCGTAGAGGATGTAGCCACCGGAATTACAGCGCCGTTGCATCAACAAGTCAGATATAGCATGAGGTGATGGGGCGGTCCCTCATGCTTAAAGCATTCTGACCCACCCACCCACCGACTCACCTCCACCATCTATAAAACATCAAACGCACAGCTCACACGCGAGACGGACGTTGGAGCAGAAACGCCGACGGTCGATCAGTCGGCGCTCCCTTCGCAAACAAAAGTGAGTTGCGAGCGTGTCGCTTGCTAACTCGGCAGCCGAATGCGTGGGACGCCAACCGCTGGGCTGAATCATTTATTTCGGCATCGCCCTGGTGCCACGCGGTGGCTTCGACAACTTTTCCACGGCGATTCGGGTCGACGTGTCACTCGGCGTGTCGGACGCCGCTTGTGTAGAGAGACACGCGCGCGCACGCGGGCGACTTGAATCCGACTGCGAGCGATCTCTGGAACCAAAGGTAAGGCACACTTGCGCAGTCGACACCAGACGTCGCAAACGGGTTTTGATTCCTTACCCGTACCCAGCCGCACCAGGGTCGCAAACGGCTACCTGTACCCGGCCGGGTACAGGTAGCCGTATCCTACCCGTACCCAGCCGCACCAGGGTCGCAAACGGCTACCTGTACCCGGCCGGGTACGGGTAGCCGTATCCTACCCGTACCCGGCCGCACCAGGGTCGCAAATGGTTACCCGTACCCGGGCGGGTACAGGTAGCCGTATCCTACCCGTACCCTACCCGAAATGAGTGACAAACGGTGACTCACAAGTGACTCACGGCCTACCCGTACCCGTCCCCGGCCGCACCAGGGTCGCAAACGGGTACCTGTACCCGGCCGGGTAGCCGGGTATCGGGTAGGGTACGGGTATCGGGTACCCGGTTGCGACCTCTGGTTGACACGCACGGACATTGGCAGGGCACAGTAGGGGAATCGTGGGGACAAGCGAACGACTGGCATGGCGGGAGCTGTCCCAGCTAAGACGGTTCGTAAATGCATTCAAAAGGGGGAAACTCCGAGCGAGCAGAAAGAACGCGCACGCGAGGTGAAGCCCACGGGGGGAAGGGAGGTCTGTGGGTCTGTGTCAGCTTGGGGCTTTCACTGAGAGGGGGGTGGGCACGTGGCTTATTCGAGAACGCGGCCATAGTTGGGGGGGGTGGGGGGGGCTATCGTGCATATAGTTTTAGTTTTGAGTGGAACTTGGGCGGGACGACGATGGTGATGCCGATGTGGACGATGGTCGAGACAAATAACGGAACGAAAGCCCAAGGGAGGGAACGCAGCGTGCGAGCGGAGGAAGACGTCGACCGGATGGAGATGAAATCAACCCGGCGGTATTTTTCGATTTAAAGCTTTCGTGACTGCAGGGATTCATCTTCTTGGTTCTTTCGGTAAAGTCACGTAGAAGGGAAGTAATAAAATAGTAAAAATTAAACATAATACAATAATTCGCACGACGTTTCGCCCACAATGCAAGCAGCCGTCCTCAGGTGGAGAACAGGTCTGTCGGGAAGACGCTGTCTTCCCTTCTACGTGACTTTACCGAAAGAACCAAGAAGATCAACCCGGCGGTGTTCAAGGGCTGGCTGTAATTGGTCGATCGCGTGTTCGTGATAGAAGGAGGGGGGAGGGGTTGAGGTTGTTTAAGGGTAAACTATAAACTTTTTAAATCCTTTATATTAAGTTCACTTGCTTGCTTACGACCGTGCAAATCTTTCGGTCGTTTTATAACCCACTTCCCGTGATCCAATCGAGCTGACATTTTGCACACAGACTCGTTGTGCGTGACAATTTATTTTCGTGAAATTTTTTTTCTCCAAAATTTTTACACTTTTTAGGAAAAAATACATTATATTTAATTACCAATTGCTTAATATAGGTGGCAGCCATCTCAAGCCAGAGGACGAGAGGACTCCAGCCGCCACGCATATAAAGGATTTATAGTGAAAAACTTTGTTTTTACGGGTTAATTTTTTTTTCACCAGGTAAAGCCCCCCACGAAGCTGCTTCTTTTACAGACGCGAGTTTGGCTGTCACGAACGATAGCGGCTCTACGAATTGACTCCTCGTCGGCACGTGGAGATTTTACAGCAAGTCGGCAAATAGTGTTAGACGCGGAACGCCGTGGAGGAGATAAACCGGATGACCCGGATAAAGATCCACGTGACCACGGCGAGAGAGACACGCGAACTCGAAATATGCAGCAGCAGGTGTCAGGAGTCGGGATCGAACCCGCGAACTCTTGTATACCAGGCGAGGTAGTTAACATCTCCTAGCTCCCGTAGTGATGATGAGAGAGAGAGAGAGACACGTAAGTCCCACTTGACACCCCTTGATTCGAAACATGTACGGCGTGTACACGAAACACGGGGAATGGCTTTTAAATGTTGTATAACCTCTTAAACTCCTGTATATGTAGATGCCACTGGTTCTTCACGTTCTGCAGACGTAGATGCCACTGGTTCATCACGTTCTGTATATGTAGATACCACTGGTTCTTCATGTTCTGTATATGTAGATGTCACTGGTTCTTCATGTTCTGTATATGTAGATGCCACTGGTTCTTCATGTTCTGTATATGTCGATGCCACTGGTTCTTCATGTTCTGTATATGTAGATGTCACTGGTTCTTCATGTTCTGTATATGTAGATGTCACTGGTTCTTCATGTTCTGTATATGTAGATGCCACTGGTTCTTTATGTTCTGTATATGTAGATGCCACTGGTTCTTCATGTTCTGTATATGTAGATGTCACTGGTTCTTCACGTTCTGTATATGTAGATGCCACTGGTTCATCACGTTCTGTATATGTAGATGCCACTAGTTATTCATGTTCTGTAGATGCCACTGGTTCTTCATGTTCTGTATATGTAGATGCCACTGGTTCTTCATGTTCTGTATATGTAGATGCCACTGGTTCTTCATGTTCTGTATATGTAGATGCCACTGGTTCTTCATGTTCTGTATATGTAGATGCCACTGGTTCTTCATGTTCTGTATATGTAGATGTCACTGGTTTTTCATGTTCTGTATATGTAGATGCCACTGGTTCTTCACGTTCTGTATATTTAGATGCCACTGGTTCTTCATGTTCTGTATATGTAGATACCACTGGTTCTTCATGTTCTGTATATGTAGATGCCACTGGTTCTTCATGTTCTGTATATGTAGATGTCACTGGTTTTTCATGTTCTGTATATGTAGATGCCACTGGTTCTTCATGTTCTGTATATGTAGATGCCACTGGTTCTTCATGTTCTGTATATGTAGATGTCACTGGTTCTTCACGTTCTGTATATGTAGATGCCACTGGTTCTTCATGTTCTGTATATGTAGATGCCACTGGTTCTTCATGTTCTGTATATGTAGATGCCACTGGTTCTTCATGTTCTGTATATGTAGATGTCACTGGTTTTTCATGTTCTGTATATGTAGATGCCACTGGTTCTTCATGTTCTGTATATGTAGATGCCACTGGTTCTTCATGTTCTGTATATGTAGATGTCACTGGTTTTTCATGTTCTGTATATGTAGATACCACTGGTTCTTCATGTTCTGTATATGTAGATGCCACTGGTTCTTCATGTTCTGTATATGTAGATGTCACTGGTTTTTCATGTTCTGTATATGTAGATGCCACTGGTTCTTCATGTTCTGTATATGTAGATGCCACTGGTTCTTCATGTTCTGTATATGTAGATGTCACTGGTTTTTCATGTTCTGTATATGTAGATGCCACTGGTTCTTCATGTTCTGTATATGTAGATGCCACTGGTTCTTCATGTTCTGTATATGTAGATGTCACTGGTTTTTCATGTTCTGTATATGTAGATGTCACTGGTTCTTCACGTTCTGTATATGTAGATGCCACTGGTTCTTCATGTTCTGTATATGTAGATGTCACTGGTTCTTCATGTTCTGTATATGTAGATGTCACTGGTTCTTCATGTTTTGTATATGTAGATGCCACTGGTTCTTCATGTTCTGTATATGTAGATGCCACTGGTTCTTCATGTTCTGTATATGTAGATGCCACTGGTTATTCACGTTCTGCAGACGTAGATGCCACTGGTTCATCACGTTCAGCAGATGTAGATGCCACTGGTTCATCACGTTCAGCAGATGTATATGCCACTGGTTCATCACGTTCAGCAGATGTAGATGCCACTAGTTCATCACGTTCAGCAGATGTAGATGCCACTGGTGCATCACGTTCAGCAGACGTAGATGCCACTGGTTCATCACGTTCTGCAGACGTAGATGCCACTGGTTCATCACGTTCTGCAGACGTAGATGCCACTGGTTCATCACGTTCAGCAGATGTAGATGCCACTGGTTCTTCACGTTCTGCAGACGTAGATGCCACTGGTTCATCACGTTCAGCAGATGTAGATGCCACTGGTTCTTCACGTTCAGCAGATGTAGATGCCACCACCGCCATCTATAACTTGCGACTCTCGGTCCGAACAGGCAACTGGACATACGGACGGGTTTGTCCGTACCTCTGAAAGTTCGTAAGTCGATTGTTCGTCAGTAGAGGAGTGCCTATACAGCTCGCTAACAGCACTTGCCCCGACAGTCTGTTAAGGCTATACAGGGGATCTTTGTCTTTGCCTATACAGCAGCTGGGTCCCTAAGGGATTCGTCACGACTCACAAACGAGTAATATTAAACGGGTGTTAAACGAAACGCAGGTTGCAAAGTGTCATTTGGAACGTTAGGTACAGGCGCACGGCCGCGCCTATAGTTTAGTGGCATGAACGCACGCGAATCGAGCATCAGCATCTTGATTTAGACTGCATGGAGGAATCTGATGAGCTACGAAGCTGTTGATATCACAGATGGGCGGGTCTGCAATGGAAACTTTCGGTGGTAGCACGAGGCGTCGGGGATATGTTGGAGCTTACCAGGAACTTGACTTGTGTTTTGGTTGAATAATGGAAGTAGAGTGGGGGGCGGGGGGATGAGACCAAGCTGAAACGTGGAGCAGCAACTCGGAAAGACTTTTCTATTTTTACCAAACAAACTTTTGAGCATTTAAAGCTTTCGTGACTGCAGGGATTCATCTTCTTGGTTATTTCGGTAAAGTCACGTAGAAGGGAAATAATAAAATAATAAAACTAAAACATAATAAAATAATTCTCACGACGTTTCGGCCACAACGCAAGCAGCCGTCCTCAGGTGAAGAACAGGTCTGTCGGAAAGACAGCGTCTGAATGAGACGCTGTCTGAATGAGACGCTGTCTTTCCGACAGACCTGTTCTTCACCTGAGGACGGCTGCTTGCGTTGTGGCCGAAACGTCGTGAGAATTATTTAAAAATGTTTTAGTTTTATTATTTTATTATTTCCCTTCTACGTGAATTTACCGAAATAACCAAGAAGATGAATCCCTGCAGTCACGAAAGAAGCTTCAAATCGAAATTCAACTGGGCTTTGTCGGGCGGTGGCGGGTTTAACGAC